CAACACGAGTCAGCCTTGTGACCCTTCTTCCCACACATTTGACAGTCATTCTCATCCTCTTCTTTCTCACCTTGCCTGCCAACACCATAAGTTGGTGCCCGGAATTCCAGTGTATTTATTGGATCACTGTCAAGCTCTCCCTCTACTGCCTTGGATATGTGTTCCTCCTGTACAGCTAAACGGATCACACTATCAAAATCCTCTGTCTCCGTGTTCATCTGAAGGAGCCGTCTTTTAATAGCAGGGTCTCTCACGCCCTGTATCAACACAGTGATACCTGCACTCTCTCTCTCCACAGCTCTCGGGTAGATCTTCTCAGCAGTATCCTGTATTCTCTCTGCGAACTGCTCTACGCTCTCTAACGCTTCCTGCCTCATTTTGTGAAACGTTGTCCTCATGATTCTCGCATCAGTGGCTGGATATAGCTCTCGTTTCGCCGCACTGATCAGCATTTTTACGTCACCTCTCTCCTCACTCAACAGTCGAATGTTCTTGACTTTCTTGAACTTTCCATCGTCTTCAATCTGACTGGCAAGTCTCAAGTCGAGATTGTCCTTTACTCCGCATAACAGGACCCACTGCTCGAATCTCTGCAGAAATGTACAGAAGTCATCATTTCTCCTGTACCTCGGCGCCTTAATTTCATCGTGTACTCTCCCTTATCTCTCTCTGTATTTCCGGGTTGCAAATCACCACTCTCAGTTGTTCTCGCTATTTCTTGCAACAAGTTGCTTGTGTTCTCCATCTTTACATCTCGTTCCCTCATCAATTCCTCTCGCTCAAGTTCTGCTTCCTCTCTCCACTTGATCATATCTCTCTCCAACTCTCTCACTCTGCTCAAACACTCCTCTCTCTTCTCGCTCAAATCAAACAACTCCACTTTGCTCTCTTTTATCTCCGCCTCTTTCTCACTTGTGTCCCAAGACTTCATTTCCAATTTCACCTCCACAATCTGATCCACAATCCGTTTTTCCTCCTCTACTAGTTTTCTCATCTCCTGCTCCATGTTTGTGAGTCCAGACATAGTACCACTTTCCTAGGTTCTCCAGATAGTGTAAAATAAGGTGGCACCAGACCAGTCCTCCCGAGGCGTACCAATGGTAAACAATGCCTGCTCACAAGTCTCTCACTACACACTATACTCTCAGTCGTTGTAGCGACTGACAACTGCAATAACTCACAATAACTAAGTATTGAACTCTACGTTAATACGACAATCACGATAACTTGTATTGCCAATTACTCTGATATGACTACTACATACATGCAACTAAGTGCGGTACTGTGAATCAAACGGTTCAAATGCTACAATTCGGTCCTAAGCTAGAGTTGAACAAAGGAAACAGTTGAATCGAGTAATAACGTTCGAATGATGAATATAAAGATATTATCAACAATCACAACTTAAACTGTGGCAAGACGGGCCACGTTGGGCGTTCTAGATCAGCGGTTAACACTTTGATTAAACACGTCACCTAAAGAGCTTTTCCAGAACTAATCCTAACGTGTCCAGAAATGCGTTATCGACACGCGCCACGTGATACCACGTGGTCACTTAACTACCTAAATCTACACTCATTACTAACGGTCATATTAATCACTAAATTACAATCTACACAACTGCTAAAACTACTCTAAAACTGCTGCAAACAGCCTACATATTACACTACGATGGAAATTGAACAGCTTAACCTGCTCATGAGGCTAGCAGGGTCTAACACGGAAACTGTCCTGGAGATTCTGCTTAATCATATATCGTACAAACAGTCCTTGGACAAGAATTCCAGACATCTACTTCAGACACTAAACCTTCCGTTGTGCTACAAAAGAAACATGGCCTTGTTCTGCCAGATATTTCAAAGAATAGCCAACATGGCAGACACATCCCACGGGGAAACTAAGAATATCCTACATTTAATGTTAAAGTTGAGTTTAGCCGCGAAGACCCCGGGGATAGTAAAGAAGACCACCACTATTCTTAACATACCAAACTGGTACAAGCTGCACAAGGAATGTGCTCAACTTGGTGATATACTGGTGAATGTTGAGAAGTGTGAGATTAGTAACATGTTCGCTGTGACGGACCTACTAATTGGAGTGACATTCCAGAACCCACCAACTGTTGAAGAAGGGACGAGGTTCCTGGAGATGTTGACTGTTCTCTGTAAGGATAGGAATGTGATGAAGGTTTGTGAGCGTTACCTTGACCTTGTTATCTCTGCTGTAAAATGCTCCACCAACGATACCAAGGTTAATCTGATCAAGATCCTTGAAATGGTGAAAGATTCAGAGGATTTATCCTCCGTACACGACTACGCGGAACTAACTGGAGGCGTTAACCCATCATACCAACCATTCTCTCTGACACATCTTTACAGTGAGAAGAATTCAATAGCGTGCGAATACCAGCATATAGCCGCACGGGGCTGCAAACTGGTTGGAATATGTGGGTTTATCATTAAACATTCCCCATGCTATGCAAACAATGTGGAGTTATGCACGGAGGAGAAGGCTTATGCCAACACTGGGATTCATTATCACGGTTTTGTGGAAGCTCAGGACTTGTGGTACTACATGGTAGTTACTGGGTAGGTGTTTGTTTGAGTTTGTTAAGTCGTATGTAAATACATTCGGTATTCACGAGTTTAAATTCAAACCAATTTTGGTTAAACAACGTAAGGATTCCGTTAAGATAAGCATTGTTGTGGAGTAGTGTTTACAGGTCTCAAAATGAGACTTGTTTTTATACCGCTTTTAAATTGTCATGTTGTGACCCTGACACGTAGGTTTCTTCTGTGCAACTCAATGTAACTATTGTTACCACTTGATATTACGTAAGCAGTAAGCATGTGGTCGTTTCATGTAATGAGGGTTTAAAAAACAAAATGTGGCATCTACAAGGCCCTGCGTACAAACAAAAGGAGCCTAGCAAATACTTATTGTGGTCGTGGATACCGTTTTCATTTTAATATAAATTTGATATGGCATTACTTTGTTGTTTCCTTTAAGCTCAACGTAGAATATCCTTATTCAGTGAAATACAAACCTTTGGATAACGCTTTTCTTATTCAACAACTTCTAACTTATTTAACGTTATCAGAACCTGAAATGTATCCCAGAAGTCTGACCCCGTCATTATCCCCTCAGCACAACAGAGAACGGTGTTAAAGTGCGAGCTCCAGGAGTGTGGGGTCTGAATCAATGGCACTGGTGGACTCGCTGGTTACCATGCCTACAGGACTGTGAGTTGGAGCAGTTTTGTGTCCAGTTTCATCTCAGAGGGGTGACAGAGCATTTAGTAGCGAGTTTCTGAGTTTAACGCCGAGCTTTTCTGTTAAACCGGACACAACTCTAGCAAAGCATTAACATGCGAATGTTTGAGTTTAACGCCGAGTTTTTCTGTGAATCCAGACAAAGGTCTTTTGTTGATCATGCTTCAACCTACTTTTGTTGTCGCCATAAACTTTTACGACCTTTTGTGTATCATAATATAATACAATCGTAATTTTAAAATACTATTTTTAACTCTGTTTCCTCTTTAATGCGTGACCCGAAATAACCGTAACTGCGGCAAACTTTGGCAGAGATGCATAACAAAGTACACAATTGATTCGTACTTCATTAATAGCGAGAACATCTTTCCATGCTTTACGGCATCATTTCACGCTTTTAATGTCCATCATATTAAAAATGATATTACTATGGTATGCTTTTAACAGCATATCACAGGTTGTTTTATTTAAAATGGGCATTGGTTCTTGGATGCAGCGAAATTTATCATAGAGGTTTAAAGATTCAGTTGGTTCATGGACGCATCGTAAATTTTTACAGAGTTTTTAACTATTGAATGCTTCACTGCAGTGTTTTGAATTTTAAGTGAACGCCCCCTGAGGTTTTGATTTTTCTTGTGGTCCGTCAGATTAACTATTGTCATGCTTCAATTTTCATGCTCATTTTTATAACATGGCTCGATTTCAGTCGTTAAAATGGTGTCGTGTCTTTAAAAAAGGTTAGACGAACAAAATGAGCATATGCACGGTATAAAATGTCGTAACTTTAGTAGTTATATTATGCTCGTACAATGAGTTTAAACGTCGTAGCTCATTAATTTTTAGAGTTGACTATTTCGTAACGTGAGAATCACAGCTTGGCTCATTTCACTCTCAGAAAACATGCATCCAATCTATCTCACAAGAATTATGTTTACCGCGGTTTTTACTTAGGTAGCACTGGTTTTTTGATGGTTTTAAGAAGTTCTAGAGTATTTTGGTTCTACTTGGCATGAAACGACCGTGTTAAACAGTTTAAATTATGGAACGGAAAGTTCTGATATATATTTCTTTGTTTGTACCGCTTAACTTGGTCGGTATTATACTCAAATCATTTGTTATGCGGTATTGCTGAACATTTTTAAGACGTTTATTTGATTTTTGATGTAACTTCATATTCCAGTATGGTTAAGGGCTCTCAAACATCAATTGACACGGACGCACAAAGCATCCTACCCAATAAGAACACACTGCCTAGTAACAAGCGAGTGCTGCATCTTTCCAATTCACAAGACAACGACGATGCCTGGTCCAAGTCAATGGAGCACACACTGCAGTATTGCAGGCACACGTTCAGTCCAGAAACATGGGGTAAAGTACGGGGCACCATGATGAGGGTGTGTTCAGATGATGGGACGAAAGAGTCTGACACACCACGTGATGTGACGTCACGGGAGAAGAAGCAGTCACGTGGGAGGAAGCAGAGGTCACGTGATTTGAAGGCAGTTAAAGAGTTGTTGAGGAGCAGGGAACATGGCAAGAAGGAGAGACGGAGATTTGAATCTATGACTATTCACAGATAGCGGAACTACTCGAATTATCAGTATACTTGAAAATCGAACTTTACGACACATAAGAAATGTAGTCACGTGACCTGAAAATAAGTTATGCAGTTACGTGAACTTCATCTGGTAGGAAACAAACTTCTCTCAGATTCACAATTGAACATACTTGGTTTTAGAGTACGACGTTGCGGTGTCTTGGTCCGCCAATAGTAGCTCTGCAACGTCAGTTCCAATGACAACCTGTTCAATATTCATTTTTATTCGAATATAAATTATCACTTAAATTATTCACATGTATAGTGTATACATCAAAATCCCCAAATCTTAATAAATTATGTACAATACATTGCATCAATTTTTTGTGTTTTATTCGACTAGTATTAAGAAATACAAAGGCAAACAATTGCAGCACGTGTTGGGACAATATGGATCAAGAAATGTTCATCGGTGATTAAATGATAAGTTCACTTAATGATAATGAATAGGACAGCCGAAATTTTTCATCCAGAAAGTTTAATTTTGCATTACAAAAGATCAAAAGATCCTTTTTTGATCTTTTGAAGCAGAATCAAATTGTCAGTGGTACTGCTGAAACTAGCTGTATTGAACACGTATAGTAGTACAGTTTAAAATTAAATTAAACATCGTAATTTACCCCGTTTTGTTTACAAAGTAACGCTAAAAGTTCCCAAAGTAATATCTTTCCTTCGTCAGTACATTTCTCCTTCCGCAACGAGTTGGCTTGCCGTTTACAGTAGTTCATAACATCTCGTTTTGGAGTTTCACCCCTGTAAAATGTAAATTCTACATCATCCCCGAAAGAAACGTACGTGCGCGCGCAAAATGTACAAATCACTGTGGCTGCATGTCCTACACAACTCTCGGCACATTTATGTTGTTCGGTTTGGCGCGTTACGTCTGGTCAAACCTGGCTTTCAAGATAGCCTCACAAAAATGGTGACGTGCCATAGCGTTACAGTCAAGCTTATCGGGTCACAACACAATCATAAACGAGAACTGTGAATCAATTTCATGACACTGATTAAAACGAACACTTTCGCAACATTTAGAATGCACTTAGTGACGTCGCACGACCTATTTAAGGCTTATTTGAACAGACAGGGTTGATATGTTGGCCAGGGTCCAACTCGAATAAAATGAAATAAGTACTCACTTTATAAATGGTCCAGGGTATTCATCAATCTCTTTCAGTTCTTGCCAATACAATAACTGGAGAACAAATACTTATTAAGACATAAATTTAGCAAATCTGGTAGATCACGTACCACTTTCGCGTTCGGTCTTATACGTCTTTATTTTGCTTAGTTACGCAATCGTTAAAAATAGCTACAAGCACCTTTATCACAAATATTACAAACCTTAAAATCAGAAACTTCCACGATATGGGGGGAATTGTCTTCATCGTTGGGGACAACACAGAGGAATTTGTTAGGAGCAAAACATTGGGCTCTCACGTGACACTGGGTATACTGAAGAAATAGCGGGTTAAAACCTACATATTTTCACGCCATTTCCGGGTTCTTGAACTATGATTATAATCATATTATGTTAGATTAACATAATTATATGCTATTTTGTGCGTTGACACCAGACGATGGCATATTATCAAAACCTAAATAAAGCTGTACATGTTATTTAAGAATGAACACAGAAGTGACCGGAATATGAGGAAATATTTGTACAATGTACATCCTAACATGTTTATCCTAACAGTGCAATATCATTTGTCGCAAATCAGAATAATCAGAAACTATTTGGAAAACCCAAAAACTGTCAAATGTACATATTGGTACTTGTTATACCGGTATAATAACAAGTTCAGTAAATTGCAGTGTACTAACCAAGTAAGGTGCAGTGTAGAGGTCAGCTAGAGCTGTTCCTGTTTCTTCCACAACTTCTTCTTCTGGTTCTGGGTAGTTACCATGTTATAAAACAATAAAATTATGCTATACACATACTTGGCATAGTTAACTAGTATCATGTACATTGTACACTCAATTAATTCAGAGGAGTGTAGAATTATCGATGAAGAGTATCAATATACATCAGATGGATATAATCCATCTACATAATCAATAGCTACCTGCTACATTAGTCAACATGGTAAATAAGGCACGCTCAGACTGCCAACCATTTAATATCCACTATTTGTATAAAATCTTTACCTTCAACTTCTTCAGAATTGTCCGGCTCAACCTCGACATCATGATTATCGTCAAGTACGTTAGACTTAGAGTCGTCCGTACTAAGCAGATCGTCCGTGTCCTCCTTTATTGGCTCAGATAGGTCAACTCCTTCGTCAGTTTCACTGATTAGGGTGATTAATTAATTAATTAATTAATTACATTGGTTAGTTACTTTGTTTTTGTATCAATTAATCAGTTAGATAGTATCGGTTGTTTAAAATATCCTTCGAATTTTACCGATTGGAATTTTGATTACTTGCATGTGGAAATGTGTATAAAATTGGAAGGAATCTTAGTGAACCGCATGACTAAATCGAAGCATTATTTAAAAGTGCTTTTTTATAATAGGGATTCAAAATTATCATTGCATCTCCTACAATGAGCTAATGAGATCAAAATAGTGATTTATTTCACTCTCGAGGGGGTCAACATAAAACATCACTTAGTCTTAATCAGTTAGTAAAAAATATAATCACGAAAGCAATTAGCAGTTCATTTCACAATCGCAGGCAATTAGCAAGGCGTGCCAGGAAGTGATCAGCAGTTAGGGTGTGGGCCAAAATTGAAATAATACAATTTGGCCCGACAAAAAGGGCTGGGTACTGGCGAATACTGCAGCGGTGAACTTACACAAAACCTCGTTCTAATTTTGGGTGAAATTTATTGTTGGATAACCAACGATACAACTGATCGTACCTGTAGGATTAGTTCATGCTCAGCGAAGAGAGTTTTTTTTTTCAAGAAAAATGTTTTTCTAAAAGACCAGCTATTAAGGTTACGATAAACATGCGATTTAAAAAAAACATGCAGCATATTTTTAAAGATTGGAATGTCAAGTTTGTGAACAGCACAAATATTTAAAAGCTCTGAAAGGGAATTTAATTGCTTTTTAACATGATCTGAATGAGTGTTATGAAAATAATATAATATTATATATGGTGTTCATGCTAACTTGTGAAACAGACAACCGGGATTATCCTACTTGTGGAAAAATTGAAAATGAAAAATATCTAAATTGTAAATTACCTAAAAGTGGGATAGGTGAGTATGATTACCTAAAAGTGGGATAGGTGAGTATGATTGATGAGCTGCGGCGTGATCGGGAGATGTTAGCATGGAAAAACTCATGCTCATAATCATTGGTATCACAGTTGGAGCAGGAACGATAAACCTTCTCCCCGACACCCCAACGCATCATACTGTGGTAGTTGTAGTTGGATGAAGGTAGGGGTGAGGAAGGGGATGAGTGAGTGCGCCTAATATCACGTGACCTGCGATGTACCATCGAGGTGAAATTAATGATCTTTGAAATGGTCAGAGAATATGAATGCGACATGAATTTGAAATGTTGAAGGACGTCACTATAAGTATTATAAAACTATGCGAGGAATCTTAGGTAAATTTGGTTTTGGTTACTTACTTAGTGATGTCCTGCGAAACAGGATCAGATCGGACGGATTCTGTGCGGGAGATATCATCACTGCGATCGTATAGTGGGTCTGGATAGTATCCCCTCCTGTCGTAGTCATACCTGCACAAATATGTAGCTGTCATTGAAGGTTAGGGTGAATTGTACTTAGACTTGTAATTAAAATAAATAATCAAGGCAATTAAAGCGGCACAAAATTGCCCGTATGTAAATGAAATTTGTAAAAAATTATTTTAAAACACTAACTTGTAACCAGGGTAGTTCCTGCTGGCCGCTGTATCTCTGTAGTATCTGTCCTGATATTGCCGGTGATACTCCTCAGGGTTCATACCACGCCGGTACATCTCCTCTCTACGATACAGCTCCTCTCTCCTGTACCTCTCACGTTCATACTCACTCCTGTAACGATCTCTAGGATCATCTCTGTAATCGTACGCGTAACGTGGATCCTGACGGCTGCGCTCGTCGTACTGGGACCGATCATCTCTATCCCTGGATTTAGATCCGTCCCTGGATTTTGATCCGTCACTTCTATCGTGGTATCCGTATCTGGAGCGAGATTTTGCCTCGGATACAAAGCTGTGATTGGATCCAGATGAGCCATTCCTGCGGTGGCTTCTATCTGCATAGCTGTCCTGAGCTGAGGTGGATCGTTCACCCCGGGCGTCCTTGCGTGAGGCTCGAACCGGTAAGCTTGGAGTTGATTTTGGAGGAGGATGGGTTTCTTTGGTGCAAAGAGCTCGTGGTTCTCGTAAGTACTACCTGGTCCTCCGCTCTTCAACACCACATTCTCGTATGAATCCTGAGCAGCTACCAGGTCAGCCACCTTATTTCCCATAGTCCTAATAGATTTCATAGACATAGTACTCAACTTCTTGGGTGCTGGGGTACTAGCTGTTGAATTCATCAGAGGTGTGCCGATTCCTCCGCCACTGATATTTGCTACTGAGTCTGGCGTGGGTCGTCGCATGATTTTCCTCTCCTCATACTCCGCTCTCAACCGAGCTATCGTGTCATCACTACCCCGGCTGGGAGGTCTACTGGAACTCCTACTCAAACTTTCACTCTGACCGATTGGTCGGGCAAAGGTTATATTGTTGTAGTTCAGCGAGGGTGAGGCTTGTTTCTTTTGTGAGTTCTTGAGGTTTATCCTCTCGTACATGTCGGTGGCAGGAGGTGGCATCAGCACATTATCAGCCACTTTCTGTTCCATGTTCTTAGATGGTGGTGGTGCAGATCCAAATGGTTGTTGCGTTTTAATTGGACCGGTTTGTGGTGGCATGCTGCTAGATTGCTGTGGTGGCATCTGCATGCTGCTAGATTGCTGTGGTGGCATCTGTATGGTACCAGATTGTGGCGGTGGCATCTGCATGCTACTAGATTGTGTTGGAGGCATCATCCCACTCGATTGAGATTGTGACATTTGGAAGCCACCAGACTGTGGTGGAGAAATAATCTTATCAGATTGTGGCATCTGGATGCCGCTTACTTGAGATAGAGGCATCTGATTTCCACCACTCTGGACTGGGGGATTCACTCCTCCAGTATTAGGGGGTGGCAGCATCATACCACCAAATCCAAACGGATCTGCTGGTTTTGAGTATCCCCGTCTCGAACTGTGTTGTTGAGAAGGAGGGTTTACACTGCTTTGTGCAGATGAGGATGACGCTGGAGGTGGAAGAGTGTCGGTGCGTCCGGAAGATGACATGGGAGGAGGCATGAAAGCTTCCATACCAGTGGATGGCTGCGAAGGTGGCATCGTATTTACATCAGGCATCGTATTTTCTGAGGGCGGTAGTGGCAGGTTGTTTTGAGGAGGAGAAACTGCAGTAAATGCATTTTGAGGAGGAGAAACTGCAGTAAATGCGTTTTGAGGAGGAGGAACTGCAGTAAATGCATTTTGAGGAGGAGAAACTGCAGTAAATGCGTTTTGAGGAGGAGGAACTGCAGTAAATGCATTTTGAGGAGGAGAAACTGCAGTAAATGCGTTTTGAGGAGGAGGAACTGCAGTAAATGCATTTTGAGGAGGAGGAACTGCAGTAAATGCATTTTGAGGAGGAGAAACTGCAGTAAATGCGTTTTGAGGAGGAGGAACTGCAGTAAATGCATTCTGAGGAGGAGGGACTGCGATGTTACCAGCCATTTGCCCTAGTGGTATGTGGGAGTTAGCAGGTGGTGGATAATCAGCTTTTTCAAAAGGTTGTTGAGTGAATGAAGGGTTTGGAGGTGATTGATAAGGCATCTGTCCAGTGGGTGCAGAGACAGGAGGGAAAGCTTGAAAACTAGATGGTTGAGTTGCAAACATCGGAGGAGCTTCACTGGGGTACACATCCTGAGGTTGGGGAGCCTGCTCTGATGCTTGAGTCTGAGGGTTACTGCTAGCTACTGAATCTCGAGATGGAGGCCCAAGCATAAATTCCGCCTCAGGAGATTTACTAGGGTTATTATCCTCCACAGGTTTTTCAAGATAAGCATTCTCCTGGAGGCCAACCCTATTGTTTTTCCTCTTTCCCACTGGAGCAAAAGCTGATGGAGCATTTTGGGTGAACATGGGAGGAGGTGGAGGTACTGTAACTTCTGCTGTGAAGTCATTGAATTGAGGTGGAGGCTGCACACATTCCTGGGGTGGAGGTTCTGTCATAATGTTAGCACTTGTAGTCCTAGACCTCGGCTCCGATACCAATGACTTGGATGTTGAGCTTGAAGTCCTTGCCCTTTCAGTAGCTATCCCATAAGGCAGTTCACCTGTTACAGTGGTACTGGAGTGTCTGGATCTGGGAGTGTTTTCATTACTTCCATGGTTGCTTGGAGGTGATGTAGCATGGTGATGGTTAGTTGGAGGAGCGAACTGTTGCTCTGATCCAAGGTTGAGATCTTTTTTCTCCCATAAGGGCGTTGTTGAATCTCGTTCTTTTTGGAACGGATTGTCAGGATTCGCTAGGGATACTGGAGGTTCTTGAATAGGCTGGTTGAAATCAAACGGAGTCATGCTGTTCATATTATTTCCAGGTTGTAATTGTGAAACTTGATCAAAGGAAGCATTCTGCTGTGCAAAGTTATCGGTGGCAGGAACTTGATCAAAGAATCCAGCAGGATTACCATTTATAGTAGGAGTAGATTGATGAGCTGTTCCAACGTTGTTGAAGAAAGAATGGTCGGGAAGTGGTTCTGGTTGATGACTAAAGCTCCCAGAGTTATGAGCTTTCTGCTCATGGTTATCAACCAGCTGACCTGCTGAATCGTGCCTGACTTTGTTTGAAGGATCAATCTGTTGACCAAACGATTCATGCCTTTCTCTATTCGAAGGATCGATTTGCTGCCCATAAGATTCACGCCTAGCTCTGTTCGATGATTGGGAATCAAACCGTTCCCTTGAATTCATATTGACTTGAGGAATTTCATCGCCTTGCCCTTGGTATGACGGATGAGTTTGGTTAGGATCATGGTTGGGTACTTGCTGTGTTTGCCCATCCCAATGAGGCTCTTCCTGCTGCTCCCGCTGAGGCTGATGTTGGGACACATCTGTTTGATTTTCTTCTTGAACACCTGGTTGAGCAAGGGATTGATAGTAAGCAGTCCACTGTTGGTAGTATTGTAACCAGGCACCATCAGGAGCATAAGTACCAGAGTGCTCGAAATAATGTTTGTTGAAATCTTCCTCAGACATGATATTCATTGCTTGTACCGGCTGTTGGGTTTCGTTTGTAGTTGTACTTTGCTGATGGTGTTGTGATCCATCTCCAGAGACCTCTTGGTTGTACTGGTGATGGGAGCCCTGCAGATCACTAGACACGCCATTTTGTTGCTGATGTTGGTTATGATCCTGGGGTTGCTGGTGCTCGTTCCAACCGTCTCCTGGTAGTACCCTGGCTGGTGCTCGTTTTGCTGCTCAACTTGGTTTTGATGAGGTTGGTACTGATGTTGTTGTTGGTCATATTGGTTGTTTTGTTGATATTGGCCATCTTGAGGATACTGTTGGTTTTGCGTGTGTTGGTCCATCTGATGGTGATGGTTTTCTTGAGGAGGATGAATACTGTTGTTAATCTGATTGCTATCAACAGGGGCATTTTCGTTGACTTGACCCACAGCGGCAACCCCATAATCATAATTGCTGAGATATTGATTAACCTGTTCAGTACTAGGCGGCTGATTATTTGGATGTTCAGCAGCTAAGTTATGGTTGTCAGAAGACTGGAAGTTAGGAAAGGCATTAAAAGAAGGTAAAGCAGACGGAGAAACAGGACTCTGAGCCTGAACCTGACCTTCTCCGTGAGGAGACACAGCCTGTCCCGTAGGTGACAGAGGCTGGTTCTGAAGCTGGGCCTGATTGATGACCTGCCCTGATGCTGCAGGGCGCTTAGGTCTGGAGAGGGGGTTACGGGATGTTCGACTTTTGATGGTTGAGGTAGTGTTCTGAGGGTTGAACATCATCGGAGGGGGAGCAACTGGGGTAGTATCTGGGGGTGCTGCCTCTTGAGCACCTTCCTTGCTGCCTGGTAAATTAATACTTTAGACACCATGTACAATTTACAGGATAACGCACTGTAACATTTAAATCTTATAATTTTGAACATATTTGTATATTCTGGATTTAGCTGTCAAGGCATATCCCACTTCTTGAACGATTGTTCTAGATTCCCGCTGAATCAACACCTCAACTTAATCATTTATCTGTTAAAGGTAGTCAACTGATTTAAATAAAATATAATAAATTAATTATGTCACTTACTGCCAAGAAGGCCCCACATCTTGCGACAGGATACAAATTACATCAGTTACTACACCATCATACCTCTGTTCATCACACTATCAATCAGTGAACAATTAAAATAAATAATCTATTCAATGATTTACAGTTATTGCATGGGTAATTTATGCGTTTGTTGCTCAAGATATAATGCGCCTGTGATTTGAGGAATTGGTGGTGTCAAATTCTAATTTAATCATTTAAATATGAATAATATGATAAGGTCACATATAACATTAAAAAAAGTACATCTGTTTATGAGAGATAACGATATCCTGTTTAATATTCATTATATTATAGTATAAGCAGTGATACTACCAACAGATATCAAATGAAATGCTCAATAAACTTTAATAAAAAATTTGGTCACATCTCGAATCTCAAAACGGCATAGACAACAAATTTTAGAGAGCACATAATTTATGATCTACTCATCTACAATCATCCATTTATCTATCTACTATGATTAGAATAAATTCTAATTTAGGTTCCATTCCAAAAAAGAATAATCCAGAAAAGCTTAGTACACAGATTTATCTGCCTCCTGTCTTCGAGTTCTGTCACAACGATCAAAAAATGACTCTTATCCACATAACAATTTATGGTATAATTCAAGTAGCATTATATCAAATGTATCTAAAGCAAAATTAACAGAGTAAAATAATCTTTGGATTACAAACATAAAAAACCATGCTCTTCCATGATACATTTTTAAACAATCTACGATTCTATCTTACAATTAAGGGTTCGTTCACATATCACGCATTATTGGAAATTCTCTCGCTAGTGTAATTTCAAAACAATAGCTATAGCTGTGTGCTCGGTTGGGGGCTGGGGCGGGTATGAAATAGGCCGGTCGCAGTATCTGGCTTGCATGACATGAGAACGATCCCTCACACTGCTTGTGTAGCCACAAGGTTCAAAAACGGGCAAATCCTCAAGATTTTGTACTATATCACTTACTTTCTCTTTAATTCAATATCACGTTTAAGCTCGATTAAACTAAGAATCTTCATGTTTCGAAATATTCTGAAACTTAAAAATTCAATTTCTTACGTATTATTCTAAATTTTTAAACACCCAACTATTTAAACTAATAACTATGTATTTATAGTGCAGATCTCAAGTTCATATTACCAACATTTTAAACATTGTAATATAACAATGTCGCTAAGTTTGCATGCAGTGTAATAAAAGCCCGACATCGGTGTTCATATAAAAGTAACCAGGCTTGGTACTGGATCATCAGATCATGTTTGACATCCAAAACAGGCATTTCGTTTAACCATTTTAATTAATTTATATAATTTTTTATTCGTTATTGATCTTAAATTCTCATCGAGTCTCAACAGTTTATTCAGTCCTTTATCTTAACGATCCAGCATCGGTCGATCACCCAAACATGGTAGACGTGACCGATGGCCACAGATACAATACAAAACAAATGTCCACTAAACAATATCCCGACATATTGACAACAAAAAAACTGAAATTTAACTCTTAGAAGTCTTCACAACGATCCACTTGAGAATGGGCACGAAGAAGTAGAGGGTCTCCTGAAGATACGATATAGCATTGCTGGTCTCCAGATACAACCTATCCACATCATCCTTACTCTCCGTCTTCTGCTCGAACTGTTCCCGGATGTTATCAATCTCACAACACAGCACTTCGTTCAGGAACTTTATAGTATCTGCTTGGGTCTTCATATCTACTTCCAGGGTGGATTTTAGGAGGCTGAGCTCAGCGATCTTCTTGAAGAGTTCGACAGAGCGTGCGGTGAAGCCGGCGATGCTGTTGAGGGAGTTAGCAAGGAGCACGGTTTTCTTTGTGTCAGATGGTTTGGCGGTTTCGTCCAGCGTTGTCATGTCCATTTCTGAGAGTTGTTGCGCTATTTCGTACCTGAGGCGAAAGGATGTTTAAAATTAGGATTTACGAACTGATAATGACAAAGAAAACGGGGTAGTTTTTATCAGCCTCATCATAAAATTACAAAATTACTACAAACAAATTATTACAAAAAGTTTGAGAGTCGGCGAACAACCTTAATTTAAAACAGACAAATAACCATACTATCAGCATGGCAGTGTATCTATGTACTATAATGTGTCAACTTACCTGCATTGATTGATTTTACTGATAGGCAGATCTATCTTGAGAGTTTTGAGGCAGTCTGTTACAGCCGCCCCCAAATGCTCGATGATAATTTCAGAGTCTCCACTCTTGAGTTCCAGACTAGTTTCTACGTAAAGGAAGAGCGTGTTTCCCTCAGATGGGTTGTTCCTGACAGAGTGATGAAAATTAAAATTGATACCCAAAGTAAAGTTAACATCGACTACAATTTTCATTTTCTAGATTTTGTTTTAAATAACCATATTTGATATGAAAAAGTCTAAGATATAGAAATTTCGATCAATATTGTATGCTTTGATTAGATATGTGATGTGATATATAGGGAAGTAAAATTATATTCTCACTTCATCTTAAGAACGCATTCCTTGCTGAGCATCTGCAGCGCTTCCAGTTGACTGAGTCCCTGCTTCTCATCAAATAGATACGACATCGTCATCATGGTTTCCGATGAAATCTGAGGAAAATAAGGTACTTATGACATTTTCAGATCATGAATATTAGATATTATGTAGAATAGAATAATCCAGTAATTATGGCGTTTTAATCATCCTAATCATACATAATATTATTATGTTTCCCAAAGCGATCCTATAAAAATGTATTATAATCTGAAGGTTTAAATAAATAGTAAATATCAATTTACAAATATCAACCTTTTCTTGTTGCTCATACTTCACTTTGGCCTCCTGTAGAACATTCATTAAGCTTGGTCCTTTGGTAGAGTCACGGGTTCTTGGCTGAAAAAGATGTATGTTGTCAGTTTTGACTTTAGTAAGAAGATAGGGTCAAATTAACCAACTGAAATATTTCAAATTTTCGATGACTGCTGCTGCCTGAATTGTTCAGACGAGCATAAAAATAGATATCTCAAAAAGTATTTAATTACAAAACGTTATTAAGTCTCATAAAGAATTTCAAATAGTTCACAGTCACATAATTAATCCAAGAAAAAAACTTAAGTATCTCACTTTTGTCTTGGGAAAGTCCTCCGTAGCTTGATCGTTAAGCGCATCATAAGCTTTGTTAGATACCTCCTCCAGCTTATCCAGACCAGCATTAAGATACTGAGTACCTGTGTTTGTCAGTGACGATATACCCGACCAGAGTCCTGCTCCAGGGTAATAACCTGGTCTACTCGCACTCTCGTCCTTTGTTTCTTTTTCTTTGGGTTCCTCTTTGGGAGGCTCTGAGAGGAGGTGCTGTTGTAAACTTTTGCATGAATTTAAAATTTATTGTCAAAAATACCGTTTTTCTCGAAACTTACGGACATAAATATGGCAAGAAGCAAATTGTAATTACATACATTTCAGTGTAAATCGTACCTTCCTTGGTCTTGACTTCGCTTTCTTTGGTCTCATCACTCTCCTTCAATTGAGTTTCTCTCATTTCTTCAGCAAGTTCCTCAGGGGTTGGTAAGCCCAGAGACGCTTCAAACGTCTCCAAGGCTCCAGAAAGACCTTTCGTTGCATTGGTAGCCATCCCTGCCACATTGGACACAGAACTGGCAGCCCAAGAAGACCATCCTCCCCAGCCCCAATCATCACCAGGTTGTTGAGGGGAGAGTGATTTCTCCGGGGGTACTGGATCTGGCTTTATGTCAGGAGAATCTGGAGTAGGAGCTGGTTCTGGAGCTGGGGTTGTATCTAGCACTGCTGCAGGGGTTGATTCTATCTCTGCTGCAGGGCTATGGTCGACTGGTGGTGTAAGATCAACCTCGGGTGGTATTGGAGTACCTGGAGTGCTGGGCTGCTTATCTTCGTCAGCACTTTCAAATCCTCCATCGCTATCTGCCATTGCCTTATCTAGAAGGAAATTACAAGGCTAAGGTGCTATTTATTGAAAGAGACATTTATTTGTGAACAGCTTTATCGGTTCATTCGCCTGAAATTCGCAACAGTAGAAAATATCTTTTAAGTAGTCAAAGAACTACTCGACCTGGTGATTCAAAATCAAGAGTTCGAACGAAATTACAATCAACAATATATAACAAAACATAGTATGCAACACAATTATCTTAGGCTAGATCACAACATTAATTGATGTTTCATAAAATTTTACAATGATGTTCAGTATATAATCTGGTAAAAATAAAAAGCATTTCAAAAATCAATGTCTCACTGAAAATAAAAATCTGTAAATAAAACACTAAACAATCATGACATAAAAAGTCCAGTCAACGTATATAATAGTAGTATTTCAATGACCCTGAGAGAAGTTTCTAGAAGCCTTGAGCTGCCGAGTGAGATGAGCATTAGCATACCTCCACAGCACCAACCCCGCATAGTAACACTTTCCCGCCAGATAAAGACCCACCCCACTAACCGGTACTACCTGATCAACATTGGTAACCGTGATCTCCCCGACCAGATCTAACCCTGGGTCACTCTGCAGAGTGTAACGCCACAGCCGGATGGAGGAGTCGCACATGGTGACCAGATACGAGGGGTCCTCTTTGTAAGGGTCCCCTGTGTAAGAGGAGATAGCTGTTATCTCTGATCTGTGCGCTTGTTGCTCCAGGTGGAGGACAGTTCCTGATATCATCTTGTAAACTGTGATGTTGTCGTTGTGGGATATGATGAGCTCGTCCCGTTCCTTCAGGTAGTGTATTCTGTACGAGCAGGGAGAGCTAAGCTGTTGTCTCGCTAAATCTGACACTTCCATGAGGTTAACTTCTTTGATCAGGTTGATGTCGCTCCTCCAGAGACGAATTATGTGGTTTTTGTGTCCCGTCAAAATAATGGTGATGCTCGTCATTTTCACCAAGTGCAATGCATAAATCTTATCTAATGCATCACGATCACGAGGGATGATGTTTTCAAAATCTGTGAAATCGTGAATACAATGTAGAGTCTTAGAATGAGCAAAATAGAGCGATCCGTTACTTTTCGACAGCTCCATAAACGTGATAACCTTTCTGAGGGACCCACGCAACACAATTCCACAGTCCTTCAGACTCCAAAAAGATAGTTCATTATCGTCAGAGTATGTCACAAGCAGACCATCGTTTATCACTGATTTAACAATCTTGCTTCTGTAACTCCTGGCTTCTTCCAAAATCTGAACATCCCTTTTCTTGAAGTCCCAGAGGAAGATTCTAGATGCTTTATTACCACTGACAATCAAGACTACCATGGAAGTATTGACGAGCAGAGAGAATTGATCTGTATTCTTTGGTGTGTATCTCAACCTAAAATAGAATAAATTTGAAAAGTTATTTTTCTTGCAATCGTTTCATTATAATATCATATAATATTGATTAATAATATTGATTAATATTAATTATTCTTTAAATTATATTTAAAAAGCTGAACGATGCGGAGAAAGAAAGAAAGAACCAAAACTTTGGCTTTTCACTTGAAAACAAGTTCAACCCCTCCCGAAGATCATGGGATAACATGTTTATTGTTTATTGTTTAAATATTATTATATATATTGTATGTGATTCATCCCCCTCGAGACATGAAAATACCAGACATAGCAAAGTAAACCTGGCAGAGTTTTGTAGCTTAGAGGATCTTGAGCTCCAGCACTTCAGCTCAAAAGTGCCACTATTCAAGGTCAGAATATAGTTCTGAGTAGCACACACTGCCTCTACGTAATTTGGATCTAGGAGGTCTAGCAGAGTGAACTTGTTGTCTTTTTGTTCCGTTAGTTCTTTAAAGGGCTCCACTGCAGGAGACCTCTTCAGAAACAGGGCCATCTGATCCATGAGACTTTCCAGCTGTTGATCAGGGCACAAACATCGTGGTAAATTCTGTTGGCTACAATGTTAATGTGATAAAAATATAGTAAATGAAAGTTAATGGGGCCCTAAATGAAGGTTTCGAGTTCATGAGAATTTAAGAATTGATTCATCATAACAGTAATATTATGTTCATAATATATCGGCCATCGCCCATCATAGCTTCATGGTTAATAAAGATCCATAATGTACTGAAATAATTTATCACCTCTGCCTCAGTGATGCATCGGAATCTTTTGGAAAGATCTTGAGAACTTGAGACGATAGTATAATATTATAATTACAAAAAATAATAAATTATAGTCAAATATAAAGTAAAAGAAAACCGAAAATGAAACCTTTAAAAATGATCACACCGTTCAAGTGGGCAAAGTACTCTGATATTTTATGCCAAAGTTATTGTCCAAATAATCCATAACAGCCGGAATGGTTGACAAGTTATTAAAAATCTTCTTCTCGTTTTTTGGTAACACATTCTCCAGCATGAAGACTAGGTGATGTTTGAAGGTGACAAAAGTTGTCCCATAAGACAGAGCAATATTGACCCAGTCTTGAACACACTTTATGGGAGTCTCACTGTAACCAGCAAACAGAGCAGGGTTGTTTAACAGACCTTGAGCACACATCAGTCCATCAGCTCCTGGGTAAAAGTTAACATTGGAAATTGATGATATATTACCTATTAAATTCAGTAAATATGAGATAGTAATCGGTAACTAGCCTTGTTATGCACTTTGCAAAATGAGTTCTGATTTATCAATCTAGCAAATGAATTAACTTGTGTAATTAATAAAACGATCTACTTTGTGAGAAGTGGGGAGGTGAGCCATTTTACAAGTAACAGTGATTCTGGGATATAATTGGCTGGAATCTACCTTGCTAATGGGTGTCACGTGTCAGATGAAATATGGCTCACCTACCTATCTACAAATATGGTCTTTACCTGTTTTTTGTAAAGCTGGCTCAATCTCCTCAGGGGAATAAACACCACCATTATGTATGACAGGGATTTTGACATTGTCTTTGATAGCATTAACATATTCAAAATGTGGTATAACATTCCTTTCTTTTATAGTCCTGCCATGTACAGAAATAAAAGCTGCGCCAGCCTTTTCGATTGCCTGAGCTAATGACACAGTCTCTTCAATTGTTTCAAGGATCCTAATTTTAACCGATACAGGAAGATCTGGATTGACTTGCCGACAGCGAGATACAATGCGTGAGATCAGATCAGCATTTGAGCACATACAAGCTCCAATTCCTAAGATTTGAGGAAATGAGAAATAACAAAATGTTACCATTTACTGATTTAAACAAAAATCTTATATAATTAACAGCAGCAATAGATATGATTTCTTTTATTTATAGGTTTTTAAAACTGAATAGATTGGATAAATGAATTATACAGGGGGGAGGGGGCCAAAAGCAGTGTGAAAACGTTGGGTCTTATTATACCTTCACTGTGTTTTATATTTGATCGAGTTGTTGCTTTGCAGATGGCATATTGTAGCTACTTGTTCGAGGATTCCGTATTAAAACACCTATATTGTTTTTTCTGAACATGCTGGACGCCTAATTTTTTCAGAGTTGGTAGATTATTAACTGTTGCATCTGATCTGAAAAAATGAGTTATCAAGCATTTTCTGTATCTCGTTAACAAGATTGACTGGGCGAATATACTATTATATGACACCATGACACGACAGCTTAATTGGGCACCCTTAACAATTCCCATAATGTTTTAAGGGGTGGTTAACGGGGTCACCTAATCACGTGATCAGGTAAACCAATCATCTGATCACACGTAATGAATAAACTCGTTATGCTTCGTATCTCGGTCATCTGAGAAGCGAAAATGAACCTTCATTTGAAAAAAATTAACACGAATATTTTTTGATTTGACAAATTATAGTAAGTCAAACCAGAAAGAACTATTTCAATTGGACACTCAGTGACTGAGCTATTAAGGCCAACGTTTGCACACTGCTTTTTGCCCCCCCCCCCCCCCCCCCCCAGTTGCATGGTATTGATTTTAAATTCTGAATGCATTCTTCTTTAAATCCAAAGAAAATGACATAATTACCTTCTTTGATAGCCCATCGTTGAGGACATCCACAATTAAGGTCCACTCCATCAACATACGGGGAGATGAGTTGAGCAGCACTAGCAAAATATTCTGGGTCTGAAGCAGCAAATTGTGCAATCAGAGGGCGATCAGTTTCTGAATATTGAAAATCAGCATCCCTAGCACTTTGAGCCTGTAAAGAGCAACTGCTAAGAAAAATTAGTATTGAAGAAAATTTAAACATTGCATGAGTAATAACATTAACTTATGACGGAGCTGAACTTACGTGGTGGAATGCTGTTTTGGTAGATATTTTAATAATATTATTTAGTAATATTTTAAAGCATCGAGTTGATGGGAAATTTGCAAAATAAATTCAACTGTGCAAGAAAACAATTTCAAGAAAACGACGATATATGTCAAACAAACCTTGGAAAAGCAGTCAGCAAGCATCATGTGCGTAAATGTAAGGTCACATTTGTAAAGCTTTACTAAGTGCCTGAAAGGCAAACTAGAATACCTTACCATAGGAGCACATACTTTGAGGGGAATACCCCTTTTCGTTGACTCGTCAAAGAGTTTTGAAATAGCGTGAAAGCTATCTTTGTGATGATTCATGGTAATGGGGTCTTGTGCACTTCAAATATTCATTGTCCTACAAACAATATAATGAAATTATAGCTGACTCTCAACTGACAGCATGAAAACGTGTTTGAAATAAAATTTAGCAAAAACAGATAATATGCTAATGGTCCCATGGTGATAGGAATCGTTTATCATTAATCAATAAATTTTTTACAGTTCACGCGCTGCTATAGTGTGTTAATAATCTTGAGAGAATAAATTTTCAACCCCATTTTCAAAGGGACCAGCAGTACAGAAGACAACTGCAGGAGAGGGCGGATATACATGTAAATTACAATGTAACAATGTGTAACTTTTATGGAAATTTACTTCAATGACAGTAAGTTTATCATAAAATCTCTGACATGTTAAATACCGTTTATAGCTGTCTAGATAAATGTAGACCTGGAAAATATGATGATGATGAAAATCTAAATATTATAGGCTACAATGAGCATTTTAGTAACAAATAGTATGAAAGATCTGAAATTTAAAAAATAAAAACCCTAAAATTATTTACACCCCAAGTTAAAAATATAAATACTTTATTTTTAAAAACACTATCAAATAAGGTGGTTGATCAGTCACTTGTGTCATTACGACGACATCGTTATATCAAGTCAAAATATTCCCCAAAATAATTTAAAGACGATTCCCAATCGAAAACGTTGAAAAATATACCACATGATATAGAACTTATTTGATGCACTGATCACAAGCAAGAGCCACTTTGGTCTACTTGCTGTGAGGTGTCTCAGCTACATGGGTTCCCCCTTTTTTAATAGAACGTATACCAACTCATGAAAAATTTTAAGAGAAGTTCAATGTTCATTACAATATTAACAAGGCCCAGTTTATATCTCCGCCAAAAGCACACTCCCCAAATTGCGTGCATTGCTGTAACTTCTTTCAAACTTCATGAATCGAGGAAAATTATTTTGCAATGTTTTCAGAGTCAACATATGCACTTATACAAATCACTTGGAATACTTTTGAAAGAGAATAACAAGCTCAAATCAAATCCATAAAAAGCACAATAACGTGAAAAGCTTTTGTCGAGGTGCCTCGAAAGTGATCTTAAACGATTCCCCGTTCAATTTTGGAAGAAGAACACCACCTCAATGCACAACCAAGGAATTTATAAACATATTTCATACGTATCAAATTGGATGTGCTTTTGGCGGAGATATAACGTGCGCCTAATAATTACAATCATAGTTATGACAATATTTTGGCCCCTTTGTTGTCTTAAAATCGTAATATATTCTGTCAGTGCAGTAAATCAAATCAAATCAAGTGAAATACACGTTAGGTTAATTTTAAGAAATAAAAGATTAATCGTTAAAATAGTAGAGCATAGAAGGCCAGGGGAACAAAAGACTATATGCATATGTTGAGGCTTATTTCTTTATATTTGGCTATTTTCTCTGAGTACCTGATCTTTGAATATTTTTTAAATGATTATATCAATTCAAATTGTAATGAACTTCAGGGCTAACCCGAGCTCTAAACAATCGAATTCATGTTTTACTAGCCTGTCAATTGTAGCGCAATGCGCTACTGTGCCGCGCCGCTCTGCGCTCACTCAATTATGTTTCTTGCAACGATCAGCGACGCGAAATGCGCTACTGTGCCGCGCCGAGCTGCGATGAATTGACATCGTCAATTAAGCCTGTGACCAATTAAAAACGATTTCTTGCGGCTTGCCCATAATTCTCCAGGGAAACATTTTTACCCTACGTCATGGGGGGTGATTCTGAATCAGCGTCAAAAAATACATCGATGTAGATCAATTTTACAACAATTTTCTTAAAATTTGGGCGAGCGACGCGATATAAAATAGCCTGGGGTCATTAGGTAATCACGCTTGCATAAAAGTAGCGAGCATACTACTTTGGGAATTGTACTATTTCGAGAAACGGAAAATATGCATCCCTATTAATTGATACAATTCTGCCGTATTTGATAGTTATTGTTGATTCACGATGTCGATCCTTCACAGCTCGGCGAAGCCCAGTCTAGTGGTGCATATTTGTAGGTTTACAACCTACCAGGACGCGCGCCGAGTTGGACAGATATTTTACGAGTATCACCCGTAAAGTGCATATCGCCGATGGTTGCGAGAAGAAGTATTGGATGCACAGCCCAGTGGTTCATCGCACTAAAATATAATAGCAAATGTTGTAGCGAGATGCGCTACTGTGCCACGCCGAGATGAATTGACATCGTCAATTAATAGCAAATGCAGAATAATACTGTATATAGACCACTAGCTAGCTAGGCACTTGCTCTAACCAGAGCCCTCTCGCTTGCAGTAGCGCGCGACCGCTGAAGGCGGCCA